GACGAAGTACACTGCTGAGGGGAGCAGCGGGCGGGTCAGGAGAGGTCTGCCATGCCGTGTGGATCTCTTCTGGGGCAGGTGGGGATCGAACTCACGCAAAAGTGGCTTAAGCTTCTTAGTGCAGTGCTTTAACCCGCAGCACCACCAGGGAGGGCCATCTTGTATTTCTTTTAACTGTGTTTTGTAGTTTTCTTTGTATAGGTCTTTTACCTTCTTTGTTAGGTTGATTCCCAGGTATTTGATTCTTTTTGTTTTAATTGAAAAGGGGATTTTTTTTTTATTTCTGCTTTTTCTGACTGGTTGTTTGTATATAGGAAACAATTGACTTTTGTGTGTTGATTTTATATCTTGCTACCTTACTAAACTGGTTGATTGTTTTGATTAGTTTCTCTATGGAGTTTTTAGGGTTTTTCCATGTAAATTAACATATTGCCTGCAAATAAGGACAGTTTTACGTCTTCTTTCCCTATTTGAATTCCTTGTATATCTTTTTTCCTGTCATATTGCTCTGGCTAGAACTTCCAGTGTTATGTTGAAGAGCAGTTGTCATAGAGACCCTTATCTTGATCCTGATTTCAAAGGAAAGGCTTTCAGCTTTTCTCCATTGAGGATAATATTGGCTGTGGGTTTGCCATATATGGCTTTTATCATGTATGTTCCTTTTATTCTGAGGATTTTGAGGACCTTAAACATAAATGAATGTTGAACTTAGTCGAATGCCTTTTCTGCATCTATTGATATGATTATATGGTTTTTATTTTTCTGTCAGTTGATGTGATGGGTTACATTGATTTTCTGAGGTCAAACCATCCTTGTGCTCCTGGGATAAAGCCCACTTGGTCATGGTGTATTAGTCTTTTAATGCATTTTGTTGAGGATTTTTGCATCAGTGTTCATTAGGGAGATTCATCTGAAGTTTTCTTTTTTGTGTGTTTTCTTTGTTAGGTTTTGGTATTAGTGTGATGTCGGCTCTGTAGTAAGTATGTGGTAGTTTTCCTTCTTTTTTGATTTTTTTGGATGAGTCTGTGTAGAATAGGCACTAGTTCTTTTCTGAACATTTGGTAAAATTCATTTGTAAATACAAGTGGTTATGGGCTCCCACTAGTAGGGTTTTTAGCGGAATGCTCTACCTTCTGTTTGCATGTTGCTGTCCAGTTTGTCATAGTAAAAAAACACTTCTGTGTTCCAATTCACTTAACCTGCCTGGAACTTAGTGAAAATGAAGAGAACATATACTTTACCCACTTCACTGGTAAATTCTAAGGATCGAATTAATGAACATATATGCCAAAACAGCAACAACAAAATGCTTTACAGTTCTGCTTTTAGAGATGTATATCACAACTTTGTCCTGCTCTTATGTCACTCTTTTATATCATGCATATATTTTTTATTATTGGCAGATAATTCTCCCCAGATAATGTCCAAATCCAGCAGTGTACTGAAATATTTCAAAACATTTTAAATCATCTCACTCTTTGTGAGTATTGACTTTTATTTTCCAAAATAGAACTGTAAAAACCTTCAGTGTTACTTCCACAGAAGGTTTAGGTCTTGCATTAATGTGGGATTTGTAATTCTTGAATCATGCATTGCCTGTACAAATTTTATTTTAAAAATTACTAAAATTAACTCTTTTGTTTTGCTAGGTTCATCAGACTTAACTTTTGCAAGGAATTATCAGCATCAATTAGAAAATTTCAGTGTAAGCAAAGAGATTTTTAATTATGCTCATGTTAAAATTTTCAGTACTGTCAAATAATGTTTTACTAAATCTATCATTTAACAACAGGACTTGTTTTTATTTGAATTTCACTTAACAAAGATAAGTGTTTTGAATGATGTTTGAAATATTAAAAGGTTTTCAACAGCAAAAAAAATAGCCCATTAGTAAGTTAATGTCCACTGAGAGGAATATTATAGTTGAAAAGAGCTTTGTTATAATCTAAAGAAAGGGTATTCTAGAAACTTAACAGTTAAGTAAGTGGAAAGGAACTGTAAAAACATAATAAAGTAAGGTGTGATTATATATCATTCAAATTATTATGAGGTTTTTGTATGTATGACTTTTTGGATGGGTCTCTAAGAAACAACATGAAATTCTCAACCATTTTATTTATAATGCTGAAGATATATGATCAAAGATATATAATGTTTTGGTCATGCAATCAGACCTTCAATTTAACAAGGTCATGATGGAATTAGTGGAATTCTCTTCCCTCCTCCCATCTTTATCAATATTGAAGTATTAAACAAGAAATCATTGCATTTTCAACAGGTTTACTTTGTATTTTACTACTAGTGAGGCAAATTTTTTTTTCATGTATATGGTTATAGGTGTGTGTTCTTTTGTAAGTGACATATTTATGGGCTATGTTATTTTCTTACTGATTTGTATTGATTTCTTCATATTACTTTCTCAAATGAATTCTTTTGTATTGGTCTCATTAGCTACTTTTAGAAACTTAATATCTGTAGTCATCCAGCACATTGGGTAGTTTTCTTTTATGATTTTTTTCCTTTTCCCTTTTCTCTTTTAGCAGAAAAGGAGAAAAGGTGTATCTAAAGCAAGTGAAGAGCGTTGTTGTAAATATCTAGTATTTAGAAAGTTAGGGTGTCAATGCTGAATAGGATCATAGACCGGAAGTCTGTGATTATATATGTGAGCAGAAAGCTATTTGCCAAGAAGTGTCAACTATTTAGAGACACCTGAGACTGTGTTATGAGTTCAGTGACAAAGAATGCTGTGATTAATTTCTGATATTGTGCTTTTGGCTTAATACAATATCAATATTGTACTCCATTTGACTCAGATTTTCACATTTAAGTATAACATTTGAGATGTTTCGTGATTTGCTCTGCCTCAAAGTAGCAAACCTGGATTTAAGTTTGAATTTCAAGGCTACAATTGCTTGCTTATTCATATACTCATTCATTCACTTGTCTAATAGATCATTTCTCACTCAAATCCTTGAGTAGCTCCAGGGTACCTAAGCTTTGTGGTGGTGCTGAGAAATAAATCTATAATGCATGTAATCCTGCCATAGTGGAACACAGTATCACATAGCTAGTAAATGTTATATAATCAGTAATTAATCATCAATTTTTTATTTCTTTCTTTCATATCCCAAAGAATTTTTCCAAAGATGTTGCAGTGCAAAGGTTGCCTTTGGATAAAATGGAAGAAAGCAACAGACAAAAAGGTAAAAGGATATATTTGAGTTTTCATTGTGTTAAAATATGCATTGCATTTTAGATATATGCTAATCTAACTACACATAAAACCTAAACTATACATAGGATTTGTCACCTTTGTTTAGTTCCACATTAGGTGCATTTATATTGGGCAATCATCACCACCATCCATTTTTAGAACTTTTATGTCTTCTCCAGCTGAAACTTCTGTGCTCATTATACATTAACTCTGCATCCCTGCTCCCCTTCGCCCTGGCAACCTCCATTCTACTTTCTGCATCTATGAATTTTACTATACCTCATATAAATACTTGTTCTTTTGTAAATGACTTATTTCACTTAGCATGGTTTCATGATTCATCTGACTTATCATTTATTAGAATTTTCTTTGTAGTCATACAACTTAAAACTTTTGTTTCACATTCATTAATTCTTGGACATTCTTAAAATAGCCTCATAGTTTATTGTTATATTTATTGGTTTACAATACTATATATATTCTACGGGTATAGTTTTACACCTGTGTATGTTATCACACCATGCCCATTACCAGAACTCCAATAATCCTTTGCTATAATAGTCCATTGGGTCCCCTTCCCTTCTTATTTTCATTTTTAATTAGTTTTTCCTTCCAAACTAACTTTTCTTCCTCCCATTAACACTAATTGTTAATGGAGTCTTCAAAGTTAAGAAATGGTAAATGTAATTTTATTTTACCAACCAATTGTACAGGGTTGCTATTAGATACTAGTTTATTAATTCTGAATACTCTTTGGCAGAATTATAGATAATGACATCTTTAAATAGTGGGTTTTATTTAATGTAAGAAGTTTTTTTTTAAGTTTGAGAAAAATGGCTTCAATTTGGCCCCAGGTGTTTTTGGAATAATTTTCCCTCTTGGGTCTAGGGTTATAATTCTCATTAGTCCTTAATTTGTTCCTTTCCTTTGTTACTGAGAAATCCTGTTGCTGAATTCCTAAAACATTCTTTAAGTTTAAATGGTTTTTGAGTAACTTATTAAAATTTAATACATTTTCAGGAATTTGAAGTATATTGTTTTGTCTTGATTTTACAGCAAATGACATCTTTATTTCTCAGTATACAATGGGACAGAAAGATGCCGTACGGGCAACTTTGAAGCAAAAGTAAGTTTCATTTATAGAAAATAGATGTGTGTCTGTATGGTTCTATGAAATATGTTTCATTTTTACTTTAGACATAGGAAAAACTTATGTTTTTTTTATGACTTTTTAAAAAGATTTATTTATACATACAGAACTGAGGTACAGGCCAGAGGTACAGGGAGGGGTGAGAGGATTCACCAGAGAAAGAATAGGGAACAGAATAGGCACACTGACTGAAATACACTGCTGAGAGGCGTAGTGGGCTGGTTAGGAGAGTTCTGCCATGCCATGTGGGTCACCTCCCTGCCAGGGATCGAGCTCATGCTGCAGTAGCTGCAATAGCTTCATAGTGCTTTAATCTGTTGCACCACCAGAGAGGGCCTGAAAAACTTCTTTTTCAATGTGTGAAATATATATTGTGTGATAGTATCAATAAACCATTTTGTATGGTGCTAGAAACATATAAAGTATTCAGTAGCTGTTAACTGTTATAGAAGAGATCCTGTTCTAAGCAGTTAATATGCATTAAATAATTTAATACAAAAATCCATTAAAGAAGAGTTCATTATTCCAGAGTATCCATTTTACAGGTGAGGAAATTGAGGCATAGAGTGAGTCATAGACTGTTTTTCCCAGTTCATTTAACCAGTAGTCACTGAGCTGGGATTCAAACCCAGACAGTTTGTCTTTAGAGTCTGCTTTCTTAATCAGATAACTACTAACAGCAGTGGTCAGACATGTACATAACACTTACTATTTATGATCAAAAACCAGACTTTGTCTTGCTTGGTGTTTGTGAAAAGGACAAGCTTAGCTTGGACAGAGTAAAGATTGCTACTCCACTCAAATCCTTTCTCCCAATTTAATCTTGAATACCAATGAAATCCAAAAACAGTCCTGACAATAGCACTATGATAAACATGGAAGAATACATCCTCTTCTTAAAAAGCAATTTTTACCATTTGTAGGGATGGAATGAAATATATATTCTTGGGCTGAATTTATTTTATTCCTGAGCAAGGGCCTCATGGAAGTCTCCTTAGAATATAGCAAAAAAATTTCACATGCTTTTGAACTTTCATTTCTTTCAAAGAGTAAATTTTCTATTACGTCTATGGATGGAAAATAAGTATTTTAAGTAATATGATTAACATAAAAAGGTAACCTGCAGTTATCTACTGCATACCTACTATGCTCTGGACTAAAGAAAGCAAATATTATCACTGAACAACAAGGGTGTGATCTGAGCCAAGCAGAGTTTCACAGGTAGTTGGCTGACTCTGTTAAGGTTTTTTTTTTTTTTTTTTTAATATTCAACCCACAATTCCTAACATGTTATATACTTGTTAGGAGAGGCATTTGGATGGCAAATTGTACCTTGGGATTTGTAAGTATTACATCAAGGATAGATTTTAATGCCATATTACTTGTATTTTTGTTTTTTTTAATGAGACTGGTGGGTGACTATTGGCAGAGGGATTCTAAAATTTATCTGGAAGAACATACAATTGAGAATATATATACCTACTGTTGAGAAAGCTAACTTTGGGAACAAAAATGAAAAAGGCAGAATCTGCTCTATTTGCCGTTATAATGTTCTCTAAAGCTATAGTAATAAAAGTAATAGACTGGAGTCTTTGAGGAATGAAGAATCCGACCAGAATGTCTAGAACAAGGGGAAAATGTCCTAATAAGTGCCTGGAGTGGTAAGCAGTTGGCTGAGTTATGAACTCCTTTATAGGTGTTTTGAACTTTAAGAGAAATGGCAAATCATTTGCAAGTTTTAAGGAATGATGTATATTTCTTAAGCTCACTTAAATAGCAGTATAAAATGAAATTAGGCCTTATTACTGGGGATTGGTGGAGTGAGGAAGGGAGTTAGATTTGGAAGATGATTTTGAGACAAAATTGATAGTGAATGATTATATGTGAAAGTAGAATGGAGCTTAGGATTAGTCTCAGATTTTTGTCTTGTATAAATGAGTAGTCAGCAGCAGTATTCATTGAGAAAGGGAATCCTTGAGACAGGATCCTGTGAGAATAAATTTCACTTTGGCCATGGTCGGGGGTTTAGGTACCTGTGAGACACTAGATAAAAAGATGTTCAGGGCCCTCCCTGGTGGCACAGCGGGTTAAAGCACAACACTAAGAAGCCAAGCCACTTCAGCATGAGTTTGATCCCCGCCCGGAGGTGACCACATGACGCGGCAGACCTCTCCTGACCTGCCCGCTGCTCCCCTCAGCAGTGTGCTTCAACAGTCGGCTTATTCTGCTCCCTCCTCTGTTTTTGGTGAATCCTCTCACCGCCCCTGTACCTCTGGCCTGTACTCCAGTACTGAATGCATCAATAAATAAATCTTAAAAAAAAAAATGTTCAGGATGAGACACTAGTTAGAAAGATGTTCAAGAAGAAATTGAATATAAAGAAATTAAGTTCACAAAAGGGATCTAAATTAGAATCCAGATGTAGACGTCATCAGTATGTAATATGGTAGTCTAGGGCCCTCCCTGGTGGCGCAGCGGGTTAAAGCACAGCACAAGAAGCTTAAGCCACTTCCGCATGAGTTCGATCCCCGCCTGCCCCGGAGGAGCTCCACATGGCGTGACAGACCTCTCCTGACCCGCCCGCTGCTCCCCTCAGCAGTGTACTTTGTCAATCTGCCTGTTCTGTACCCCACTCTGTGTCTGGTGAATCCTCTCACCTTCCGCATCTCTGGCCTGTACCCCAGTTCTGTACGAATAAATAAAATAAATCTTTAAAAAAAAAAAAAAAGATGGTAGTCTAAATTTCTCAAAAGGGTTGAAGTGATCAGTGATCATGTGATAGTGAAAGGAAAGATAGAGGCGGGGTAGGACTCTGGGAAAAGGAGGCCTTTAAGAGTTATGTAAAGAAAGCAAGCTAAATTTATAAATGCTAACAAAGTTTATTCAGAATGTAGGGGAGTATGTTGTTAATAAGGTCTGGAGAAATGAGGAACCAAGTTTGATATACTGTTCAGAGGTAAAGAAAGATGAATAATGAAAAATGTCCTTTGAGTTGAGTGAGAATTATTATTAGCAGCCTTGTTGAGACCAGTTTTAGCATATTATAGGGATACCAGAATCAGAAGATTTAGAAATAAAAAGGTTCTAATAAAAGGCTAGATGGAAAAAATTTATTCAGAATGGGAGAATTATGTGCATTTTTCCAGTTCCTTATCTTTAGAACTTTTTTATACTTGCTATATTAGGCATTTATTAATTTGAAAATTAGAAAAAATTTAAAATACTATAAAGATTTTTTTAAAATCATATAAGTTTATTTTTACATCATTTTGTGCCTTTTTCCATCTCAGTTGTAATATCTGTGGGCTTCCCATCACCAAATCACCCATGTGCCATCACCATAGTCCAGTGCACTTCCCTCCTCCCACCATTTTTGATCCTATTCCCCATTCCACCCCCATAAAATGTCTCTGGTATATAGTTGTTCATTATTATGTTCTCTTCTGGCCCTTTATACTCCTGCTATGAGTGAAACCATCCGGTATAAAATCCTGTTTTTTTGGTGTTCCATTAGTCTATTAATGTTGAAGGATAAATCTTAAAGGATGAGTTAAATTCAGGCCTCGGGTAGGAATTAATTGTATTAAATTTTCTTATTGCTCTACTCAAGTCCGTTAAAAATGAGTTACCTGTTTGGATAATTTTTGTTAGTTGCTGTTTGGTATAGAGCAATCTTTCAATTCATCCATTACAAAGGTTGCTTAGTGCTAAGTTAGGGTGAGAGAATGTATAT